GCTTTGATGTTTCCCTGGATGAAGATGCTCCTTCAACAAGTAGATCTAATAAACTTTTGCGTAAAATGAGCAAAACAGGGAAACCTATCCTAAAAACAGTTCCCTTGGATGAAGCAGAGGATACATTAGACCCATCTTCCTCTTTAGTCCCAAAAAAAGACACAAGAAGAATCTGGAAGGATGAGGACATTGAAGAATTTCAAGTTCCAGATGCAAGTTTTGAAACCCCTGACGCCCTACAGTCCCCATTCCAGTACTTCAAAATGCTCTTCACTGATGAAATGATTGATCATATTGCCTATCATACCAATCTGTATTCTGCTCAAGAGTTGGGGGACACAATCAAGACTAGCCCTAAGGAATATCACATATCTTTCTTTCTACATAGCACTTTAATTCTTGCACATATCTTTCTTTCTACATAGCACTTTAATTCTTATTGTTTGCACTGAAGCACCGCAGCAATTTCCTAATGTTGTAAACCTCAACATCTGGCAATAAACCCCATTCTGATTCTGAAATTGAAGATTTTCTGGCAATCCTCCTATTCATGGGTGTTTTCAACTTTCCATCGCTAGAGGATTACTGGCAGCATGAGTCACGTTTCAGTGTGATAGCAGATATCATTCCAAAGAAGAGATTCCAGCTTTTGCGCTGGTTCATTCATTTCAGTGATAATCAGCAGTGCAATGAGAGTCAAGACCGATTTAAAAAAATCAGACCTCTCTTTGATATGCTTTGTGAGCAATGCCTCCAGATACCATCAACAAATAAGCACAGCGTAGATGAGGTCATGGTAGCATATAAAGGCACAAGGGCCGGCAATCTCCGTCAATATATTGCCAACAAGCCAGACGAATGGGGCTTTAAGGTGTTTTGCCGAGCAAATTCATCTGGCATCATTTATGACCTGCTGCTTTATCAGGGACCTTCCACATTCTTCAACGTTACCCTCAGTGAAGAGGAGCAGATGTTACCTTTGGGAGCCAAAGTGGTGACAACACTTTGACAAACCATAACACAGCCAAGGCTTTCTGTTGTGTTCTGTGACAACTATTTTTACCAGTTTTAAACTGGTCCAGCACCTAGACACCTCATTGGGTGTCAAGTGCATTGGCACTGTTCGACCAAATCGCACAGGTGGAGCCACTTTGATGACAGACAAAGAGCTGATGAAGAGAGGGCGTGGAGCTTTTGACTACAGGTCTGCTGAAGGTGTGATCGCAGTTAAATGGTTTGACAACAAATGTGTGAACCTGCTAAGTAATGCTTCTGGGATCATGCCACTTTCAACTGTCAAACGCTGGAGCAAAGAGTCCAAGGCGAAAGTTATGATCCCATGCCCATCACTCATCCCTGCATACAATGAGCTTATGGGAGGGATAGATCTCTCTGACATGCTGGTACACCTGTACAAGACCCCAGCCAAGTCTACAAGATGGTACCTGCCACTCTTTGGTTACATGCTTGATCTGTCCATTGCAAATTCCTGGCTGGTCTACAAGAGGGAATGTGGACAACTAAACCAGAAACCAATCACACTCAAAAGATTCCGCCTGGCAGTTGCGCATAGCTTGAAACAAGTCAACAAGCCAGCATCCAAAGTTGGCCGACCATCATCCAGCTCTCCACCACCACCAAAGAAACGATACACCCCAAGACCCTTACAACCACAGCCAGATGTGCGATATGACTGCTTTGGGCATTGGCCACTTCACTGTGACAAGCGAGGCCGATGCAATTACTGTCCAAAGGGCGTCTCAAGATGGAAATGCCAAAAATGCAATGTTTTCTTGTGCTTGAATGCCAGTCAGGAATGCTTTGCAGTGTACCACCAGAAGATCTAATCATCAAGGGGTATTGGTGAAGTTGCATGAACGGCAAAAGAAAAGAGCCAGAACTGTTTCAGTGTGTTCTCAAATTTTTCAGTGCAAAATGGCAATGGTATATAATATACCACCAGAATTTTCTGGAAAA